TATATATGCCAAACAAATCATGGCAAATGATCTTCATTAATAAGAAAAACCTTCAATGGTTTACATGTAGGCGGAATACTGCCAGGTTGCCCAGGCTAAGGCAGGTGAATTTTCTTGAGGAATCCGCAACCAGAGCCTTTCTATAGTCAAAGCCTGACCCGTATGGCAGCGAGGCGGCATGCGAAAACTGCAATCCATTGGGGTCCGGTGTTGAGTTCGTCGTATCATATGCCTGTTAGACTGAGACATAAATACTGAGTTGCCTAATTTAACAATGATATTCATTAACCTATTTCCTCGAGCTAGTATGATCCGGGAAATAGTAAGGAAAAATAGTTATAATATTGGATAAGTTTGTTGACAACCACATGTTAAGTTAGACAGGATAACAGTAGGTTTTCATAGTTTTTTGCATTTGAAGGCAGTCATAGGTTTGTAAAGATTACACCGCCAACAATTAAAACCGACATCGGTTTGATCTTAATTCTAAATCCACATTCATAATTAAAAATTTGAATGCATGTGAAAGTTAGGTATACCATAGTATTGTCGCTTAGACTTATCGCAGTCTAGACCGTGCCAAACAATTCACGGTACCGTAACGTTTGTAAGAATGAGTTTCCCCATGATTTCAAAGAAGCTCCCTAGAGTGAGCTAAATGAATTTGTGCTATTCCAATTTTCCTTAGTACTCGGCGTACGGGTTCCGACAATGATTGAGTTTACTAACGAACCGCTTCCGAAACATATAGCGTGCGCTGATTAGGTAAGCGGCAGTTAATCTTCAATTTTATCCGTGGATAATCTACTCCAACAGGGATTGATGCTTGTTCACAATAATCCTTCGTGGTTTGCGACTTGGTACTATACGGACCGCTTCTCAGTGATGCCATCCTCCGATCCTGTTGGCCAATTTATCCTTCCTAATCATTTCCCATGATCATGCTGATGTGCTGAATACTCCTATGAAGGAACTTTCAGTGAAGCTCTATATTGTGTCCATGGCATTCTAAGAATGCTCACTCTTCCTCCTTTAAAAAGGATTCCCCAACTTGGTGTGACAAGGTGCAATGTTACCCACAATCACGTATCATTTGTTTTACTCTTTGATCAATTGCTTGATGATAACGGTCACGTTTTCTCCAGTCAACATGTACATGACCTTTTTATCCTCCCTTCTCGATTTAATCTAGTCGTATCATCCATTGGCTTATTCATCCGTGTGCTGCTACCGTTGTTTCGGTTCTTGTAAGCGACTGTCTTATAAACTCGAGGAGTTTCGTCGACATGCGGCCAACTGTACGAGCGCGCGACGCATGTTCATGTACACTTTTACCTCTCAGAGAAACCGTGCGACAATCTATCCATTTGACCACTCCAGTTCTAATCTAATGTCCAACAGTTCCGGAAATCCACTGTGTTTCTGTTCATATTGTGGTATTGGCGCACGCCGCCTCGACAATCCGACTGTAGTCACTGCACCCGCTACACGTCCAAATTCACCTAAAAGTAAGTGGTTTCGGTTTGGTAACGCGAATGATGATTGAATTCATATACTTTGACATTAAGATTTCCCCCTCCGAAATGACTTTATTTTTTTTCCGTCGTTGGGGGAAAAGCTGATTTCATAGACATTACGGAATTTTCAAGAGTTTTTAGTCCAGTTGGTTGCTCCGGTAACACACGATTTTCATTGGAAGTTGCATTTTGCTATTCAAGCTATCGTTAATGTTCAGTCTTCATTCTGCTGTTTTATCCATATGGGCCGCCGAAAAACAGCGGCCAAAACTGAAGCATGAAAATGCATGACTAACGGTTGTGCAAACTGAAATGTTCAATCGTGGCCATTTTTTCACCCATCGAGATATATACCAGTCGTTTTTCCATTCCACTTACTTCACACGGAAACTCTGCTATTCTGGAAAATTTATCCCGTATTTATTTATTGATGGTATTTAGTACAGTGTTGAGGTTTTTGCAAATCCACGGAACCTCAATTTCCGTTCGCATTTGGAATTTTGTGGATGGTACGGACGACGTTCACCTCAATATCGCTTGAAGAGGAAAGGTTGTTTTGACTTCAATGGATGTTGCCAAACGGAGACTGATAGTCGTTACCTTTCGTTCTGTTTGGAATGCTTTTAGGCCCTAGCGATTCGCCAGCGCATCTGGTCATCGATGAACAGGAGCCGGATACTGCTCCGCTAATCCGAACATCTTCAAATCGGTCTATGAGCACCGATTCACTGGCTTTGATGCCTCAACAAGCAACGACTAGAGAACCCATGTACGATGCATGCTACTTCTCCTCTCTGTCCAGTTTGCGAACCCACGAATCACAGTATCATGGATTTGAAAATAACAGTCAAATCGCTTGTCCTTGGTGTGGTCACCGGTTATCTTGTTACCGACGTCAGGATTTACATGTGACCATAACACATTTGGGATCCCATTTGCGTAAACACAAGTAAGTCATAACCCTAGCAGTTGATATCTTTTCATTCGTTCCATCTCGGTCAGTGTGCAGTTTGTGTTCCGGTCAGTCATTCTGGTGCATTGTCACAGTACTAATAAAATTCGAGCGACTGTGTTTCTCTGAATCCAGCTACCTTTCCTAATTAGCATTACTCCCCGTTACTGAATGTGTGACAATCGACGATCTAATATCAGTTAATTTTTTTTCGTTTGCATTTGTTTCTTTTTTGTCCGTCTTTCAATTAGCCTCGCCTCGTGGACAATGGAAAGAAAAAGACGATGGAACAAACCAAATGGAGGTGAGCATCTCCATTGCTGAACAAAAATTGAGATTACTAATAGCTTTCTTTTTCCCACTGCCCCAAACGACACACGATTAATCAATCACTGAAAATCTGCTATTTTAATCCGTGAAGTGTGATATGGATAGTCTTCCAACGGGCTTCTTAAAGGTGTTCACAGTTCTGAAGTGTGTTACCGGTTTCAGCTATAGTATACAGTGGATACGACGTTGAGCGTAACACCATTTCCTCGCCGGGATGAAGTGTTGGCACTGAAATACGTTGTTATCACACAATCACAAAGATTATATTTTTATGGGTCAAATTACCTAAATAAGTTTTAAACATACGCAAATCTATCTGATTTCTCACCTTTCCCCGACAGAAAAGCAGGTGTCACTTTGTTTACCGAGAGAATGAAATTGTGCTGGGAAGTGGAAAGGATGGAGTGCTGATAATCTCAATCTCATAAATATACTTTAGGTTTGTTAGATGTCAGTTTCTCTGGGTTCAGATCTCGGTGCAAGTGTTCACTCAGTAGCTCATGCCGGTCTCTTTATTACAGTTCACTTCCGGCAGCCTATGCTGATCGCTGGCTTATAGACCTAGAGTAGGAAGGGAACAATTCGAAAAGTTTTAAACACCCGGCAAGAAACGAATGAATCGATACTTCAAGTATGAAAACGTTATTACGGAATTTGTAGATAGACCACCAAAAAACTTTTGATGTAGCTCACATTACCTTATGCAATACATCTTATTTTCCCGTTCATGATTAGATCTTCCACTCTGTTCATGTGGAAGCGCTCTCCTCGATTCACCGATGGCACTCGCTTCACATTGTTCCGTTCATTTATTGTCTCGCAATCCACTGTTGACACATCGCGGTGCATCACTACGTCCAGATCCTGCATCGCGAACCAATCAGTCTGGAACTATACCTACTTTGAATGTGACCGAGAACGACTCAGACTCTCCGATGCCCCTGGACCGTTCCGATTCCAACATCAGATCGGCTTCGACCGCTTACAACCGGCTTCTCCAACCCATGAGATCTGTAATTAGACCCAGTCCCACTGCACATATACCTTGTTCGATGGACGTGTACAGACATGTGAGTATTCCCAATCAATATTTTGTGTTGCATGGCTTTGTGTAAAATATCTGAGTACTCCCGTTTGTTTACCGAATGTTCACACAAGAGCCTGTGCAGTTAGAAGGATAATTTATCTGGTTGGTTTTCTGCGTACCTATTAAATCCAGCTACTTGTTATTAGTAGTTTTCTTGGCTTGAAATAGGTGATAGATGTCTGTGTTGCCCCATCTACAGCATATGGCGTTATTTCAATCGATGCTATACGGCTGGTTTTGAGAAACTCCACTGAGGGAAAAGTGAATGTGTTCCGGTTTTTGTTTCACCATATCAGTCAGTATTGTTGATGCATAATAGCCTATGCCATACTTTCAAACAAATCATGCTACAAAAGTCTTTATGACCGAAATCCATTCATGGACACAATGCTACCACGTTTCTCGAATCGAAGGAAGTGATTTGCCAAGTCACTCATAATCAGAGCTTTCCTATAGCTTGATGTGCAGGGCGACCGATGTGCAAATACCGCAATTTATTGTTTCCAACGAGGTAGAAGTATTGTTCGGTGTTTGGTCTGTTATTTCTCACCATTGATATGCCCCTTCATCCAATCGAATCAACGGCCGCTGTGATAACTCCATCTCAGAGCTCGTTCGTTCGTTTCCTCTTAGGGCGTTTGGAATGTTCTCATGGTGGCCCGTGGCTATAACTCTGGAGTTTGGAAGATACCTTGCTCATCCTATGAGAAATGGTTCTTGATAACAAAACACAGCTGTTTACATAATTTTATGTTTGTTTTGCTTTTCAATATGGAAAATAGCTTTATACGGTCACCAATGTGTTGAATGTTTAATCTCCTATCTTGTTGATTTACCGTGTTCCAGTTTTAAATATCCTGTGCTTTTAACATGCTTGGTTGACGTATCCGTTATGTTTATCAAGGGATGTACAAATTCATTGTCATCCACCTTGAAGCCATAATAATCTCTTAGTCGATTGATCCGTCATATCTATGTTCTACTTCCCCTTCAGCTGCGATTTGCGGAATTTCCCGATTTGGATCACTATTTGAGTGAGGCTTTGGAAGACACTCGGCAACCATTCGTTTGTCCCATGTGCGATTGTCGTACTGCAACACGCTGGGCTCTGACCGAGCATGCTTTTGTCGAGCATTGGGTAAGTGAAGTACCCCAAGACTATCTGGCGTATAGATCAATATTTATAGAGCAATCTCGATGGTACACTGAATAAGTGGACACCAGATTGCCGAACAATTGCCAAAAGCATTCAGGACCACCAAAAAACAAAAGCGTGCCGAGTTACCTCATAATCTTGGTAAACCGTGTAACATTGTATATCTACTGTATGGGACCATTGCCCATTGTTCAAAGCAAAATGGCCGGAATGAACAGCTGCTTTTGGACCCGTTCTGGTTTAGTTATTAGCCAACAAGTACGTAATCAATTCTGATTACTGTATGAATCGGTTTTATCGACCATCAGTCACCAACGAGAATCCTGCGGACGTTCTGCACTTTGTATTCGATTTTACAAAGCCCCTGGGAGTTTCCTTAAACGAGAACCGCAGTTTCTAGGGCCCTCAGGTTCGAAATCTCTCCACCTCATGATTTATCTCCAGTGAACTGCTTACAGTGCACCCACCTGAAGGAACTTTCAAAACGTCATTTGGTTTGCGCACGCACGGCGACTGAGCCGTTCAAGCATATAAGGACTTCATCGCGAAAGTCAAACAGTTTCAGTTTGAACAACCATTAGGCATGCACTTCCATGCGTTGCTCTTTGTTGCTGTCTTTTGGTTGCCTATTTGGATGAACTATTGGACGAGAACAGGAAGATTGGAAGTAGGATAAAAGAAAAAATTGAGAAGTTCGTTGGACTAATGTTGCAGCGAAATTGAGAATACAAGCAAGAACGACACTGTTTACGACAACCAGCCATGTCACTCAGTGTCTTTACCCATCGGTGACTAAGATCTCGGGGTCCCCATCCCGGGAGCCTAACAGGGCCTATGTGACCCAGAGTCCTGGTCAGGGTTTTCATATCCTCATGCCAGGTCTTAGCCTGACCACCCTTGGCTTTGTTCCACCCACTACTTGCCTCGGTAAACATCGCACGCCGTGGCAACCTATTTGGTGAAATGTGTAACACATGCCCCAACCAACGTAATGTATGGAGTTCGACCACTTGTTCCAGTGGGCGTTTGCGGTTGCCTAAAACTCTGCGCCTGACCTCAGCATTGCTTGTCCGGTTGCCCCACCAGATTCGTGCAATGCGACGTAGACAGCGGTGTTCGAACACCGACAATCTATCTTTATCCAGTTTCCTTAATGGCCAAGTCTCTGCTCTATATAACAGAACTGGTCGAACTCGTGCAGCGTACACTCGACCCTTCACAGACAGCCGGATGTCGCGAGGGAACCACAAATGTTTCATGTTGGCAAATGCCAACCGAGACTTCTGTATATCGGTTGACACGTCATCCGTGATGTGTCCACCGGGTGAGATGTAGCTGCCCAGATAACAAAACTTATCCACTTGCTCTATTACTTCCCCAGTTAGAGTGAGTCCGGGTGCTGGAGCAACCCAGTCTTTTAGTAGCATTTTGCACTTTGAAGGTACAAAACGCATACCGAAAGTGACTACGTTGGCACTCAAACTACCCAGGAAAGCTTGCAGGTTACCTGGATTTTCACTTAGCAGTACAATGTCCTTCATTTAAATCAGATAGTCTGCAGTGCATCAAATAACGCCTTGATAAGTGAGGCATAAAATCGAGACGGACGACGGCAAAGTTGCTGAGTGGCGAGGTTCGAACCTTAAATCCTAGGGCCCAAAACACGCGGACAACTGCAGGATACGCTCGAAGATACAGTCTCCTTTGTGGCGAAGAATCTCACCCCAGCGCCGGTTCTTTGATGGACGTTTTCAGTGTAGACCACTGTGCGTCGACAGTTGAGTCATTAAAAAAGGTTTCGGCTATGTTGGAAGCGGTTGCGTACAACAGCGCCTGCCTTCTCTCAGGTCGTTCGAAGAACGTGACGCTGAATTTGCCCAAGAGACGAATCTTCCGGCGAAGAGTCAGAGATCTTGAAGCGGGCACGTGCAAGGGTATGGTCTGTACCGTTACTGTTTTCAGTTTCTGCGCCGCTATAGGAACGGCAGTCTTCTACCGAAGAGGCCCAGCGAGTACGTACCAAAATATAACCAATCTGGTGTGCCGTTCGACCATCATTTGAGTACCACGTGAGCAGATGTTTCCTGGGGTGCTGAAAACGAGTGTTGGCCACTACCAGCCGGTCAAGGTCAGCAAATATGACTAGGCGTTGACCATTTTCGCAACGTTGACCAAGGCCGAACTTTCCCAGAAAATGCCGAGCTTTATCGTCTGATGGACCAGTGCGTGCGTTCCAGTCCCCTGCGATAACGAGGATGTCGCGCCTCGAATTATGGTTCACTGCGTCTTGAATTTGGTTGTAGAAGAGTCACCTTTGATAGGCTCTTTCGCATGTAACGTTGGAGCATATACAGAGATTACTGTCAGGTTAAACGGCTTTGTTCTGAAGCGCGCTATGGCAACCCTGAGAGAGATTGGTTCTCAGGAGATCATGGCATTGTTAGCCCGGCTGCACACGGCGATTGCTACCC